TTAAGACTTCTAGATAATGCCACTGGTCCTACGGCTTTGGGATGATATTAGATGACAGGTCGTACTGTATTTCTTGATATTGATGATGATGACTTAATCAGTAGTCATGTAACATTTTAATGAACCAAGACAGTATCATTTTATTTTAAATCAATAAGAATACATGTAGTATGATGGCAATAATGTATCAAGACAACACATTCATTTTAGACTTAACTGTTTTATTTCAAACACTTTTTGTTTATTTTTGTTTTATTTCTGCATTACCTTAAATAAAATTAATACTTACTATTTCATTTTCTATAGCTACAATCACTTGTGAAGAAGATGAAAGCGGAACAACAACATAACAGAGAAAAATTAAAGAAAGGATCGGCCGAAAAAAGGAAAAAATCTGTTAATAAATGATTTCATAATATTGTAATGCAAATTTATAATGTTAGTATATTAGTCTTGTACTGTATTAAATTACCATATTACTATACTTTGGCACAAGTTAACTTTTACGGTTATTTAACTCTGGAATCCTGACCAGAATTGTCTTGAACTTTATGGCCTAATTACGGTATATTAAAACTGCAAAGGAAGGTGTCCAAAGTTCCTTCAAATGTGCAAGACAATCTAGCCAAGCACATAGATCATGTAGGTTTTTTTTTTCACTTTACCTACAGTTGTGTTATAGTTTACTGCCACTGTACCATACTTTGAAATGTCAATAAAGTATTTTACAATGTATTTTAGGAGTTTCACTTTTAATTGTGATAATTAATCCATTATAACAAATTGAAATGTATTGATTTGCTATGACTTTCAACATTCTTGATTATTTACTTGTTTCTACTTCTACAATTGTCAAACACTCATGAATAGCAAACCAGTACTGAGATATATTCGCAAAATATTACAATGAAACAAATATCCTTAAAGAATGTGCAATTACTTTTTAAGTACATCAGTACAGCTGAAACAAACAACTATTTTTTTTTTTTATTTATTTATTTTTTTTTATACTGTACCAACAGTCGCTACTGCAGTTTACCTTATTTGGTAAGCGACAGATCCTATGGGAAACCCTTATCTGTTGGCACCAGTTTTTCAGAATATTCCAAATTGAGGGGTGCTAGAATGGGAATGCGATGATAGGAAAAGGGGCATATTTAGGTTATTTCCGGTCAAATTTATTTCCATACATTATTCACATATATTTTTCAAGCGCTTGAAACGGTTTCGATCGTGGAAGGCGCTATATAAATATAAAACCATAAACCATGTAAGTTGTGCGGGAGTCTCCAAAAATAACTGCTTAATAGATGCCAGTATATGTTCAGTAAAACAGGGGAGAGGGAATGTTGCCCGTCTGTTTACAATGGAAAAGTCAACGCCATTGGCTAACCTCCTCCTTTAAATCAATTCTGTCGCAATTTTTTAATGCCTCCATTAGAAATTTTAACTTTTCTGCTGGGGAACCTGAATGCCTTTTCCTCCACATCACCAGCATTCGTTCGTTTCTCTCGCGGCTAACACGATAATCATCACGTAAATCGTGCACTTCCTCAAATGATAATCCAAGGCAAACCCCTATCGTTGTCCAATCATCACCAAGTTTTTTTGCTAACATAGCAATTCGCAAATCTGTGATTGGTCCAAAGTCTTGTTCTAGAAAAAAAGTCATGAAATATTGTATCTCTTAAATTAGCATCACACCAGACAATTTTTTGCTAGTGCCAGACCATTTATTAAATATATTTTCTATTTTGAGTAAATGTTCTGATGATACAATTGATTAACCACATCATAAGATTTCTCAGACTTAATAATCCTATTGTGCACAAGCCAAATAAGCCTACTATTTACACTATTTTAGCACTTTAATTTTTTTGCAGTACTGTAAGTGCTACTGATATGTCATAAGGGTTCCAAGACCAGCGTTTTAGCTGACGGAGCTACCCTGACTGAAGTAGAACAGAATGCAATTAAACTTACCATGTCTAACTTGATGGCTTGTAGAAGAATCCACAGTATCGCCTTAATAATGAAAATATATTCCAATTTTAGAAATGTGGCAATGCTACCAACACAACCCACAATATAAATAATTTGTTTAAGTTAACTCCCAATACAGACTAGAATAATGCTTTAATGAGAATTAATGAAGTGCTGTGACAGGGTTTGAACCCAGGACCCTGGAAGGCAAAAGCATCTTAAAGCTAGGCTCTGGAGGAAACATATCTTTTGATATGTTGTACGATTGATTTGTCCAAGACAAAGAACTTATAGATGAAAAACTAGGGAATGGTTAATGAGATACAGATTTTTGAATATTTAAAAACTGAGGGAAAAATGGGCACGACCACCTTTTTTCTCATTAACCGTTTTTTTCTTCAAAAACACATTTTTTTCTGGAGCCTGACTTAAACAATCAGGCAACTCCATTTCTACTCCATTAATGTGTATAATTTGCACAAAACTAAAACTAATTACTGTACTGTACTACAGTATATGGACAAGAAAAGAGTAGCAAGAAACTTGGTATGGCTGTGTTGTTCAATAGGTTGCTAAACTATCATAATGATGTGCCAGTTTATCAAATAGGAAACAAAAAAAATATATAAACGTTAGAAGAAAACATACTTGTATACTCGGTAGTATCAGAACCTCCCACTGACCCTCCATCTTTGACAATATTTATTGCATGAGAAATTCGTTCACAGAGGTCGTCCTCATCCCAACCATCGTAGGCAACAAGAGCCGAGTAGTCTGACGGTATTACAGAGTTCTTGGAAATCTTAACGCATATAACTTGATCGTTTTGTTTCCTATGCTCAAGCGCTAAACTGGCAACATAAGTGTCATTTGCGGTCGTCATCTTTGATGGAGGCGCGAAGCCAATAATCTTGACCCTGCAGTTCTGGACACCGTGCAACCTGCTTGTGGTTTTCAGGCCACCAAGCGTGAATTTCCCTCTGTGGTAGCTAGAGAAACCCTTTTCCTGAAGTCTCTTCAATATTCTCGTCTCCCACTCTCGGTCATCGCTTGTTATATAAAAATCATATTTATTAGGGCCTGCAAAATATAAAGCAAAGACAAGGATTACGTAATATAGCTATTTTTACCTTTGCTGTACCTAATCATAATTTCTCTAGTAAATATACAGTATTGCTATTATTCTGCATTGCTCTATAATGGATAATGAGCTTTAGGCATGTACAGTACTTAGGATTTTTTTTCTTATTACTGTACATTTTATGGCAGGGGTAGCGCTAGAGGAGGGAACCTTTCGACACCCGCTTGAACCCCCTATTGGGGAATTTCCAGCAAAAAATAAAATCTCGACCGCCGAAAGTACAATTTAGGCATGCCTTACTAAGCTGTCAAATTTTAGGGATTATAAACTGCTTAGTGCGAACTAGCAGCGTTATTGTATGTGCGAGGTGTTGTATACTAACGTGATCGTATGAGTCGTGGTGGTAGCGCCAGATCGTCCCCGACGGGAATGGTACCTCCTACAGGTGGTTAGTACTCCCAACATGGGGTCTCTTAAATTACATTGTTTTCTATCAAATTTTTCAAATAAATACCATAATCAACACAATTTTTTCCTGACGGGCGTGCTAGGCTTCCCCAACAGGGTGGGGGGTGGACCCCTTGTTGGGGAGCTGGACCTCCTTGTCGGGGGAATTCCTGGCACCGCCCCTGTTTTATGGTTTGGCTTATGGTGATTTAAAAATCTTCCTGAGTGCATGCTATTAACTAGGCCTAAGTAAAGGCTGGTCTTAGCTATTACTAGGACCATTTAATACGCAAAATTTAGCGACAGTTTGGATATCTATCCTGCTTAGGGCCTAGTCCTACTTCTATTGGAAGAGTCGACCAACCTAACTGAGGCGCTGCCATCCCATCTACAGTTACCATAATATTATAAGTAAGGGCTATAAGCCGAATTTTTCTGTAAGCCCAGTTGGGTTGCTAGCCTACGCCCAGCCGTCCAGATAGCCTAGGGCCTACCTACCTAGCTAGGCATAGGCGTGCCTGGCCCAGGATTTATCAATCTCAGCTTAGCAAATGTCCTAAGTCATAAAAGTTAAGATGTCCCTAATAAATATCTTAAGCTGAAAATCAAAATCTTGGCTTAAAATCGTCTTATTAGATTAGATGGCGCCAAAGTACAATTGACTTTCTAATTTTAACCAATGTTTAAGTTAAACAATATGGATACATTTGACTTAAGCAAAAAAAATGGACTTAAGACGAATTTAAGCTAATTCTTAGTTTGATAAATCTGGCCCCTGATTTTGGGAAATAAGGGGATTCCCCACCACCTCTAGCTCTCATCACACATTAAATGTACTGGAATTTAAATAATATATTAGCTTGAAACTTTACCATTTACAGCCATCTCTTGTATTTATTTGTCCCCGTAGATTTTAGAACAACTCTAGATTACCTCAGTGGTTTAAATGGTTTAATCATTGACCTAATAAAACTGCATATTTAGGATCTTCTTCACCAACTTTATTTCTCCTGGTTTAGTGGATGTTGACCATTTTGTAGCAAATCATTCTATAGGGGGCGTGATTCATTTATGAGCGCCGCCCTCTATAGTATTTAGTGAAATTGATGTGTGTTGTTATTTTGGTTGTGGTCTTGTCTTCTTTCTTCCCTCAACCACACACATGCGTAAGTGCACACTCTATGAAATTGAGGTAGGATGGAATCGGAGCCAATTCCCGGTAATTTGCAACATACCTGGGTAAATCCTGACAGCCCAGTCTTTAAATATATTTTATCAGCATGTGCGGCTACGGTAGCTGAAACTGGTAAGTGTAGGGTAGGCACTCACGACACTAGCCTAGGTAGGCCTCCAAACCTCGTGCCTGGTCATCTGACTGTGTGGGTAGGTGTAGCCTTACTTACTGAGGAAGTACTGAATTTTATGCAGCAAGTTGTGTCCATGTATCTAGGCGACCTAGGCCACTATAGACTTCATCTTTCATCTGTCTGACTAAAGGCGAAGGGAGAGTTTAAATACTATAGGCCTAGTGGCTATTATTTACACCACCAGTCTTTCCTAATTATTTGATATTATTGTGAAATTCTTACTTTTGTTACTGATCAGGCTATAGAATATTCTTCCTTTCAGTAAATATTGATCAATAAATAAATCAATTTTCATATTTTCTAGGTACCTTTCCATTGGACTTGACCAAAACCCGTCTTCAAATACAAGGGGAAGTTTCTGTAAGTGCCAACAAAGGCCATCATGCTGTCCCCTACCGTGGAATGGTACAAACTGCTGTGGGTGTGGGTAAGTTGTTAGTACACGCATTCACATAGAGGAAGTGGATTTTTTTCATTTATTTAACATGATGAATAAATGCCTAGCACTGCATTTAGCCGGTTCAAATGGGATATTATTAATCTTAGGAAGAAGTTAGCGCAGATCCAGACGGACATTATGTTTCTTAGTAAGTGCCGTAAGGAAAACGTTGTACCTTCTGGACTCATAGTTAAGAACCCTTTGAAGAACACCTACTGCACCCCATATTCTAATAGGATATGTCACTCTCTATCAGTGAAACTCCATAATCATCTGATCACTATTATGTATAATGAACAGAACACAATCACGAAGAAACTTAATAAATTTGAACGAGACATCGAAAACGCTACCCTCTTTTTTTTGACAGTCTCCTGATGAAGTTCACTGTGTGGACGAAAGCTTGAGAATAAATTATATATTGTTAGTCTCAAAAGTGCTGCTGTTTTTTACTTTATACTTTCATTTATTTACTAAGTCTGCATTAATACCCAGTTTGTTGTTGGTAAAGATAGAACTTTCGCATAGGCAAAGTGGATCGGATATATGTCATATTTTTTCGCATCTCCAATGATAATTTACATCAGTTTATCTTATCTTAGATGAAGAACTGGTGTTAGTACAGTATACCAACTATGTAATTTGTATGTAATTTTTTATCTGCGGAGAGTTTTAGCTTGTGTTTTTAGTATCTTTGATACCTATTTACAAAATATCTTAAATTAAAATTGTATTTTGAATTTCAGTTCGAGAAGAAGGTGTGTTAAAACTGTGGCAAGGGGTCACACCAGCTATCTACAGGCATTACTCGTTTATTTCTTCATGTTTCCTTCAATTCTCTTGGTATGTTTTATCCAAACACTGGAAGCTGCAAAAAAAATAAATATATTTATTGTATAAAATGACCAGTTTAAATATTGAATGATTATTGTTTTACCTAATTATGAAATAGATTTCAGATGGTAACATTATTCAATTCAATTAAAATCAGACACATTTTATTGACCATTTATTAAAATATAGTATATGAAAACGCAACAAAAAGAATAGCATGAAGCACATACTGAATTCCATTGTTTCAATTACAAGATCATGTTGCAATCATGAATATATCCCTGTAAATGGAAGAAAGAGAATATAGCAGAAAGATATTTTGTTACTGGAAAGATAGCAAAACAATAATACTTAGGCCTATGATAAAGCGATTCACGAACTAAAATATATAGGGCCTAGGCATATTAAATTTTTCGTTTTCGCAACTCCTTCGGCGCTCCATATATTTGTTCGAAATAAACCGCGACCGAAACGAAGCGCGACCGAAACAAAGCGCGACCGAAACGAAGCGCGACCGAAATGATCGGCTACCTGAAGAACACCTACTGCACCCCATATTCTAATAGGATATGTCACTCTCTATCAGTGAAACTCCATAATCATCTGATCACTATTATGTATAATGAACAGAACACAATCACGAAGAAACTTAAGGAATTTGAACGAGACATCGAAAACGCTACCCTTTTTTTTTTTGACAGTCTCCTGATGAAGTTCACTGTGTGACGAAAGCTTGAGAATAAATTATATATTGTTAGTCTCAAAAGTGCTGCTGTTTTTTACTTTATACTTTCATTTATTTACTAAGTCTGCATTAATACCCAGTTGTTGTTTGTCTATATAAAGTATATATATGTATGTACTGTACACACATATCAAAGATACAGTACTAGAAACAGCTCGCATAGGTAAAGATAGAACTTTCGCATAGGCAAAGTGGAGCGGATATATGTCATATTTTTTCGCATCTCCAGTCCAATATGATAATTTACATCAGTTTATCTTATCTTAGATGAAGAACTGGTGTTAGTACAGTATACCAACTATGTAATTTGTATGTAATTTTTTATCTGCGGAGAGTTTTAGCTTGTGTTTTTAGTATCTTTGATACCTATTTACAAAATATCTTAAATTAAAATTGTATTTTGAATTTCAGTTCGAGAAGAAGGTGTGTTAAAACTGTGGCAAGGGGTCACACCAGCTATCTACAGGCATATTGGTGAGTGACATAATTAACCTTATCATATCAATGAAAACATGCATCATGTGGAGCACTGAAGCTGTGGTTTGATTGGCCAAACAGGCATCTTTCAACCCTAAGTTTTAGAGGTCAATCCATGCAAAATATATAAATTTTATTGTACATGGTTCAATTCAATCGTTGTGTTCCAACTGGTGTGCTGAATTTTTCAAATTACAATAGCTCATAGTCTTTCGGATGTACGTTGTTAGTCCCATTACCAGTGGCCCATGTGCATGTTAACAAATTCAGTATACCTTTTGAAAAAAGCATGAAATTATCTCCTTGTGTACAAATAAGTCTACGGACCTCTGTGCTTTAACATTTTTTCTTTTAATCTAGGTGATGATAATTTTTCTAATATTTATTGTAGGCCTATTTTTTTTTTTATATACCGATACTTAGGATTTCATTGTTATTGTAGTATATACCGGATGCAGAATGGGAGCGTATGAATACATTCGTGAAAACATCCTGGGTAAAAATGAGGATGGAAGTTTTCCTGTATGGTATGTGAATGGATTTTGATTTACAATTTTAACATTCTTTCATTATCGTGGTGATCGCATGGTGGTGGGGTAATATCTAGCCCACATAAGGTGAGTCGAATGGCCGAGCGGTTAGCAGAAGCGCCGCAAGCTATAGCCATAATATCAGCACAGGTATTTTCACTGATTAAGACAAAGTTTAGGGACTAGAACCCAGTCTAACTAATTGTCATGTGATTTGATTCATCCAATAGGAAAGCTGTTTGTGGAGGACTATCAGCTGGAGCTATTGGACAGTTCATTGCTAGTCCAGCTGATCTGGTCAAAGTTCAAATGCAGATGGAAGGAAGGAGGGTACTGGAAGGCAAGCCGCCAAGGTAATAAACCTTAGGCCGTTCTTGCCTATATCAATTATTTTGCAACATTGCATCCCTGCTACTTTTTACTTCTCTTTTATGTTGATATATTATAGTTGATTTTAATTTTTATTTCTAGTTTAAAAGTTTGTAAAACTTTATCCCAACTCTGTAAAAACATTTACCAGTATTTTGACAATTTTCTTAGTTTTTTTAAATTTTTTTAAACTAAATTATTACTAGGATAAAAGGAACATTCCATGCATTCACTAGAATTTTAAAAGAGGGAGGAATAAGAGGATTATGGAAGGGCTGGGTTCCAAATGTTCAAAGAGCTGCATTAGTCAACATGGGAGGTAAGTACGAAAATCAAAGGTCATTTTTCAAGTAATAAGTTCCTTAAAAATAATTTTTTGATTTAATCATTTTCTGTACTATTGTTAATTTAATATAATTATTGTATAGATAAGTTTGTTATTAAGTGGTAAATAAATAATCAAAACACAAGCAATCGTTTTTCATGACTGTTTCTGCTTCAGCTCGGCTTTCCTGACATCCTTGCAATCTTATAATTACTGTATACTGCTTGTGTTATTTGCAGAAAAAGTAATTACTTGATTATACCAATGATGATATGCGATTCTATTTCTTGATTTTTCCAAATAGACCTGGCAACGTATGATACAACAAAACAAATAATTTTAAGAAACACAGATCTGACAGACAACTGGTTAACACATACGCTTGCAAGGTAGGTTAACTCCATGACCAGTGGAGGACTTTCACAGGAGGGTCTTTACCACCTCAACCCTACCATAGTGGGGGTTGAGGTAAGAAAAGTTAGGATTATAATATTGAAAATATTAGTGGGGGAGGGGGTCCCCTTTGAATCTGCAACTGTTGATGTTATGTAATTTAGTCACGTTCTTAGAAGCCAAAAGGGCATTATATCCTGTAAAAAAAAATTGCCTTTAGCCCTGTACAGGATTTAAGGCAGTACAGTATATTTAAATCTATTCGATGCTAAAGTAATTCTACTTCCTAAGTGATATAGCAATTTGTTTAGTATATAATGGTTTTGGATATGTTCTGAGTGAATGTAACACTTGATACACAGTAAATAGTTCTTCTATTGAGGTTACAAGATATATTATTGAAAAAGTTCCTTTGTTTTTTTTTCTAATTATAGACCAAAGTTGCTATAAGGTCATGAAAACCTGTTCCAATTATAGTGTTCTTTTTTTTTTTTTTTTTTTTTTTTCTGGTCCAATTATAGTGTTCTTTTGTTGGAGGGAGACCTGTAAAAGAACACAATGAAAAATGAATGATTCTGTTTATTATTTGTATTTAATTTTAGTACATGTTCTGGTCTTGTAGCAGCTACCTTAGGAACACCAGCGGATGTGGTTAAAACAAGGATTATGAACCAACCAACCGATGCCAATGGCAAAGGATTACAATACAAATCATCATTAGATTGTTTACGGAAAACTGTAGGAAAAGAAGGATTCATGGCATTATATAAAGGATTCTTCCCTATTTGGGCTAGAATGGTAAGGAACGGAATGTCATTTTTTAACCAGAGTCCTCAAGTTATACAGAACTTTAGTAGTTTACTACAGAAATTTTGCTTAACTACATAAGTACGTAAATTTATTCAAGTGTCCCATCTTCTGACTAATGTCTGGATTTGTTTGAATCACATTTTGGCCATTCTATCAATCAATTGTCAATGTATCAATCAATTTATGATGCTGATCATTAATAAAAACCAAGATCACAAATTTTATTGTTTTTAACTCTGTAATAGGCACCATGGTCTTTAGTATTCTGGTTGTCTTATGAAGAGATTCGAAAACTTGCTGGAGTGAAGTCATTTTGAACTTGAAGAATTGTATCTTACTGGGCTGACAGTATAGTGAAGTATCATAATGGAAGGAATGCGGCATTCCAGAAGAAGGAAAATGTATTTGATTGAAGAAATTACGCGCTGATAGAGGGCTCACTCATAAATGTTCTGTCGTGCAATGAAAGTATCAGCAGCATTGTTTAAACAGATTATCACAGACAGCTGAGCACAACGCCGTGTTGTGGCGAAATCAATGTAATTCTGACAGTAAAGACTTGAGATGAATCTTCTCTTTAATGATGATCTGCCATCGATCACTGTACAATAATAATTGTCTTCCAGTTTTTAAGAGGGAAAACTGAAAAATAGCTTTAAATTTGGGGATTTTATTTAGATTTTGAGCAGAACCAAAAATTAATCTGTCGTACACTCAGCTATTGGCTACTGAAACTTAATAGACTTTTCCATAGTCAAGCTTAACAAATGACCAATCACTACATTGCCAGGAATACGACAGGCTTGGGACAATTGGGGCAGTCACGGGACAATTGGGACAGTCCCGCACAATTTTTCTATTGGGTCCAATATTTATACAAATATTGGGTCCACATTTTGTCGCTCACATCACGAACTAACCCAATCAAAGTAGATTGTGTTAGTTCGTGAAATCAGAGTAGCGCGTCAAAACGAGCGCGTATTGGTTGTCAAGCAATTTTGTATTCTTTACCACACAAAAAGTCCTTAACAACAACAGCGCATATTTTGACGCACTTTCTTGACTTCACGAAATAACACAATCTACATCGATTGTGTTAGTTCGTGAAGTGAGTGACGATTTCTAAAAATGGGTCTAGCTTACGTTGTTTACAAACAAACAAAATTTATGCGTAAAATGGGTCCACATTTTTTTAATTTATGCGTAAAATGGGTCCATCCTGATATTGTCCCACACGCTGTTTAAAAATCCTGACTATGGCATTGCCCACAAGCATTACAGGACATTAATACTATCATTTTGTGGAACCTTAACAACAATGTCCATGGGGAATGCTTAGCGGAACAGTCAATTTGCATACAGGTGTGATTGTCAGTTCAAATTATAACTCATCTATTATGTTGACAGCTTATTATTGGTACAGTAAATTTTCGTATTATTTTTATGTCATCAGTGGTGGATCCAGGAATTCAAAATAAAGGGGGCCAAAGGAGGAACTTGCACAGATATAATGCCCACCTACCTTAGCCCCAAAAATTGTGATTATGGCACATCTAAATGACCAGAAATGGCACTCTTAGACTTAAATTTGAAAATAATTTATTTTATTTCTCCTCTTTTTTTTTTTTTTATAAGCTTGAGTCATTTAGGGGCCTGTCCTTTAATTCGCCACTTGTTATTATGAATGATAATTTCGGTGACAAATGTATAAGGTGCAATCAATTTACTTCAAGGGCCATAGGATGCATAGATAGGGATGATGTATAATAATATTGTATAGAAATTATACACCGTTGGTGTGGAAAATGACATTTGTTTGAGGAAATTTTGCTACATGACCTTGGTCATAACATAATGCAGCAAAAATAAAGTCTGCCCAATGAATATTGAAGTTCAGTATATTGTTTGTTTAGTTGTACTGTATTTCTACTGAATAGATGCATCATGGACCTATTTTTAATAGGTCCATGGATGCATCATCATCGTCATGATCATCATCGCCATCATTGTCAGTGTCACCATCATCATCATCATCCAGATGGTATGCTTTGTGGTAATAATATAAATTAAAACGTAACAGAAGAGGATCTGAAAAATGAAGAAAAAATCTTGGCTTTTACCGATTCGAACCTGGGACCTTCCACCTACATGGCGAACGTCATAACCACTTGACTACAAAAGCGTTGTGGCGATTTTCTTTCATTTTGTAACATGTGACGTCACAATTTAGATGTACTGCCAGAGATCTATAAGATACGCCCTCTTTTGTGCTTTTTTTTTTGGTAAAATTTTTTTAAAATAGTAAAAGAGCTTTAATGTTTTTAACCACAGTGCCACAACAATATTCTAAATTTTAAAAAAATCTTATAATCATACTGTTGTCAAACAATGTTAAAAACAGATCCGGTCAGATAAAAGTAATTTTTTGTATATGAAAAGTTGATTTTAAGTGTGTAAAGTTAAAGTAATAATAATAATAATTCTGGATTTATATGGCGCCTCACTTTGACACAACCTCGAGGCACTTACTGCATAACCGTCATTGTTGTGGTGGTGTTGTCGTCGTGTAGTACTGTACTATATATGTGCGAACGGTGGACGTGGGCGAAATCAGTCTGGCCGGCAATTGACATTATGTTGGCGTTAAAAGACTGCATATTGTGATGAGGGACCTGTGTACAAACAATTACCAAACACAAAAAAAAAAAAATATCAATATATAATAATAATAATAATAATATATATATATACATTTTATATATTAATATAATATATATATATATATATATGCTCTGAGAGCATAATTATCATATCAACTCTAGCCCCACCATGGTTGGTAAACAACTTGTCTGGCGCCTATGAATGTCCGGAAATAGATGCTGCCAACCTAGAGCCGCTTTCCCTTCCCCTCAAGGGGCAGCCACAATATATAAAGTTAGCATGGATGAGCTATGTAGGAAAAATGACACCTCTGGATACCATGAAATAGCAGCTGGTAAAGCTGTAGAAAATATTATTGTTAAAAATTTAATTTCTTTATCATTGCCATAAGTAAATAAATTGAGTTGCTTATTCTTCCAGAAGAGCAAGAAACATGAATACATATATAATGAATAGACCAAAAATGACTATGACATACTGTAATTGTATTTACACGATGTGGAGGGTATTCAACTATGAAATATACACAATATGCTATAAATAAAACACAGGATACTATTTGCCACACAGATGGACCTGCAGCCTACATGTTATGAACATATTACTCGTACAATTTTAATTAAATTTTCCTGCAAAATTCAGCCTGAAACATTAATAAGTTATTGATCACGCTCTAGAAGTTATATATTATCACTAGAATTGTAAAAAAAATAATAAGTTAAGTGCGCTGTGTTTGCTTCTGGTAGGCCTTATACCGATTACACATTAATTTTAGTCAACCTTCGGTATATTCATGCAGACAGACATGCACGTATACTTCCAAGGAGAGAACTACCCTGGTAATAAATAAATAACAGAGTACTAACATTAGGTTGATCCAGTTAATGAGTGGAGAGGGGCACAATGCTGCTGAATCATTTTTGAAATTAACTTGCCCATTTTTAAGTAACATAAAAATAAAATTTCACTACTTTATATCTAATTTCATAAATACTGTAATAATACTATTTTTGAGCAGTTCTTTAATCCTCGCCGATAGACCGAGAGAGCCCTTCGATGCCGCAAGCATTCTTCAATTAGGCAATCCTGCCATATAGACCTTTAAGCAGCTCCTGTTATTTTTGCAAATAGATGATATGTAACTTGTAAGACCAGCAAAAATTAATTAAATATGTATATCAAAATGTAAATAATTTGATTATTATTATTTATAAATATTAAAATAGTATAGGTCATCAGTTGGCTGCAATATATAAACTGTGCTTTGCTGTAAATGTTATCATAAATTGTAATTGTTAAATGACATGCAGGATCTGTGATATATTCAACTTGTGTAATTATTGTTTAACGTATGTTATTGTATTAAAATTCTCTGTTTTAATATTGTATTATGGCTGTACAGTATGTTACTTTTATGAACACACTGCAAGAGCGTGTGCTGTTTTAAAAGCGTCGTTTCCAAAATAAAGTTATAGGGCCTAGTAATTATAAAATTGCCATGTCATTTTTGGAGTGACATTCACACTATTTGTACTTAAGTACTGGTACGCATCCTAATGGTTAAATTGCCTATTTAACTCTCCGTTAGATTTATCTATAAC